CTGACCATTGTGGTGTTTCCTGGTTCACAAGGGACAACCAGGTCTGTAGTAGCAAGTCAGTAGAAAGAGAAGGGACCAAGGTTCCCTAGACTTGAATTCATTAGACCTGTGCGTCAAAACTCAACTTTTGCAATGGTGCAACTCAGGAGGCTGAGACAGGAGGATGGTAGGTTCAAGGCCAGTCTCAGCAATTTAGTGAGCCCTAAGCAACCTAGTGAGACCCTGTCTCAAAATTTTAAGAAAGCAGGGAGGTGGTAAGGTCTTGGCTCAGTGGCAAACCACCCCTGGGTTCAATCCCTCCTCTCAACAACAACTCAACTTTTCTGACATGGTGTATAGTTCAGTGGCAGAGCACTTGCCTGGCATGTGCGCAAGACTCTGGGTTCAATTCCCAGTTCCACAAAAGCAAACAAACAACCAGGTGGTGGTGGCACACACCTGTAATCCCAGCAGCTCAGGAGGCTGAGGAAGGAGGATTTCGAGTTCAAAGCCAGCCTCAGCACTAAATAACTCAGTGAGATCCTGCCACTAAATAAAACAAACAAAAATACTAAACTTTTCTGAGAAGTCTTTACAGTCCTGTCTCAGCTGGGCTGATGTGAAGCTCCTGCACCTGCTCCTACCCACAAAAGCTGTGGATGATGGTTGAACTGCATTTTTGGGGGGGGGCAGTGGGGATTGAACTCAGGGGCACTGGACCACTGAGCCACATCCCCAGCCCTATTTTTGTATTTTATTTAGAGACAGGGCCTCACTGAGTTAGTCGCTTAGTGCCTGCTAAATTTCTGAGGCTGGCTTTGAACTTGTGATGCTCCTGCCTCAGCCTCCTGACCCGTAGGATTACAGGTGTGCACTACCACGCCCAGCAGTTGACTGCTGGGTTTCTGTTCTCGTGACTAAAAGGCTCAGGGGTCACTCCAGTTAAACTGGGCTAACTGGGCTGCACAAAATAACCACACAAGAGATACAAATACCTTTTTCTTTGGGGTCACTGTGACGGCTCCTCTGACCTTAAGGGTCCGCAGGAAGAGAGAGCATGCACTGACCCCTTTTATTGAGGAGAAGCTATTCAAATGAGGCAAGGGGTCAGGTTTCAGGGGGCTGAGTATCTTCATGATGTCCACTGTCAGCAGGTTGACTGACACCTGGGTAGGCCAACCCAAGGGCACAGTAAGAGAAGGGGACATACAAGGCACTTCCATGGAAGATTCTATCTTAAACAGGGCAAGGGGTTATTACAAAGGAACAGGTGAGCATAGCTCCACCCATGGGGCTGTAGCAAGACACACCCATGCACGAGACACCAACCCTCGAACCCAAGAAGGGTGGGGAAAGCTCTGCCACATTTCTTCGACTGAGCGCCTCAGCACCCAGCCGGGGAGTGTGACTCAGTCACCTGCAAGGTTGGTCTCCCACAATCGACCTGCACCTTACTGGAGGAGAGCAAGTAGGATGCTGGGCGTTAGCTTTGCAGAGAGAGTGTGCAAGCCAAGGGCTTGCAAGTACAGACTTACTCCGGATTCAGAAGGGGTCTACAGCAGCTGTTTGGGGAGGGGGTGTCCAGAGAGGGCAGAAATGCTTCTAGAAAGGATTAATGAAGTATTGCTTGACAGGTGCAAACAAAATCCTCTTCCTAGCATCCTCAGGAAGTTATCAAGAAAATAAACCTTCCTCATAAAATCACTTTAGGACTGGATGCTTTTTTCTGGAAGATGGGAACCAGGGCTGAATCAGGCCTCCAGTTGACCAGGGAACAAGTCCCAGGCCACTCAGGTAACAGGTGTAACCCTGGGGGACACCAGCAGCACATAAAAACTAATAATAAGTAACAAGTTAACATTTGTCAAGTTCTTATTTTTCCAGGTCTGTCCTAGGCACGTTGAAGGGGCTGTCTTATCTCTTCTGCAGTGAACCCATAAGCAAGTTCTGAGATGATCCTCATTTTGCATGTACAGAAATGGCAGTGGCTCAGAAGGATGAAATACTTTCCTTAGGCTGTGCAGCCAGCTTGGATGGAGGTGGATTTCAACTTAGGTCATGTGGGTGGGTGGGGTGCTGGGGTTGTGGCTCAGTGGTAGAGCACTCGCCTAGCATGTGCAAGGCACAGGGTCTGATCCTCAGCCATGCCTATCATCGCAACAACTCCAGAGGCAGAGGCAGGAAGATCACTAGTTCGAGACCAGTCTCAGCAATTTATGGAGATTCTGTCTCAAAATTAAAAAAAAAAAAAAATTTCTTTTTTTTTTTTTTTGTACTGGAGATTGAACCCAGGGCACTTTACCACTGAGCTACATCCCCAGCCCTTTTTTACTTTGTAAAATTTTGAAACATGGTCTAAGTTGCTTAAGGGCCTCCCTAAGTTGCTGAGGCTGGCTTTGAACCTGTCATCCTACTGCCTTGGTTTCCCAAGTCACTGGGATTATAGGCATGTGTCACTGTGCCCAGCTCAAAATTTTAAAAAATTTAAAAAGGTCTTGGGATAAAGCTCAGTGGTAGAACACCCCTGGGTTCAAACCCCATTACTCTAAACAAACAAAACAGACAATCCCCCAACACACACACCCACATACAAAAACCACACACATAAAAACAACAACAACAACAACAACAAAAAACAGGAAAAAATATCAGTGACTTTGACTCCGGAGTCTTGCTCTCAATCACTATGCTGGAAACCAAGGCCCACTTGACTCATTAATTGCAAATTGATGCAAGCAGGGTCAGCCTGTGCGCTTTGCCATCTACTACTCTCCACACCCCCCCATGAAGTAGGCAGACGTCTGCTTCCTCCCTCAGTCCTCCAGGGATGAGTCCAACAGAACAGCCTTCCAGAAAGAAGAGACCAGGGTTTGGGTCAAGACAGGGTGACGATGCCACTGTCCTGTCGTCTGACCATACGTTCACTTATTCAGTGTTTATCAAGCGCCAACTCTACGTTCACCACCCACCAGGCATTGGGTGGAATGATCCGGGCACTGGGGAGAGCATAAAAATACATCCGAGAGAGAATTTATCCTCAGAGCACTTAAATATTGGGGAAGACAGGCATGTGTAACATTAAGTATATGTGCATAAGAATGTCTTCATTTACCATGAAATGAGGAGCAGATGAAAGTACTCTGAAGTCTGAGGGCTGGGCTCAGTTCCTTCTGTTTGGGCCTAACAGGGTGTCGGGGTGCGTTTCAAGGACAAGTAGAGCTTAACTATGCCGAGAAGAGGAGCCCCAGGATTTTTTTTTAAAAAAAGAAGGAACATATGCAGAGAGGCCATGAGGTGGGAGCTGACCCAGAGAGCCCAGAGCGGTCCTGCCGGCTGGAGGGGCGCTGGGGAAGGAGACCAGGAGATGAAGGAAGGGAGGGGGACAGAAGAGAGGGCCTCGGAAGCCAGGCTGGGGGTTCTGGGCCCACTGTTTAACGGCCAGGGTGCGCCCACACTCCTCCTTCATAAATGTGTGCCAGAGTTGGGTGCCGAGTGTCTCCCAGAGCCAGGTGTTAAGGCCTGCTCCCCACAGTGTGCTCCTGGAGGTGGTAGGGCCTAGCGGGTGATTGCAGGTGATGGGCGGTGTGCCCTTGAGGGGACCACGGGATTCCAGCCTTTCCCTCTCTCTCCTTCCTCCCTGGCTTGCTATACGAGTGGTTCTGTCCCACCAGGTGCTCCCACAGTGATGTGTTATCCTGCCACAGACCCAAAGCAGTAGGGCCAGTCTACCATGGGCTGGGACCTCCAAACTCTGGCCCAGAATAAACCTCTTCTTTTTATAAGTTCATTATCTCAGGTATTTCATTACAGTGACAGCTGACCAGCACAGCAGGCTACTCAAATTCTGACCAGTGCCTCATAATCCATTTCTGCCTCAAGTAAATCACAACTGTTATGGGGAGGCCTGTGAGGAGGAATGTCACACGGAGGGGATCAAGTGGCAGGCAATGGGGCACTTCGGAGGCCAGAGGGGCAGTATACATTAAGACTTTGCTAAAGGAGAATCAAACACACAAAAACTGTCTCTCAGGGCAGGACACAGTTCTTCTCAGAGAGGGAACCCAGGCTACAGGGCAACTACTCAGGTGAGGCCACGAACTCTGACTGGTTTTACAGACCACAGGATGGGTCACATCAATTGTGCATTCACTGGAATCAGGCCAACATTTTTAGTGTCATTTTGAATCATTTAATCTGGATTTGAATCCCAGCTCGCCATTAGCCCTTGATCATATTTCAAACCTCTGTACCCCTCTTTCCGCATCTGCAGAGCGCACACAGGGTCTGCAGAGGGAACCCCACAGGGCTGTGTTGACAGTTGAGTGAAATAACAAGAGGTGGAGCACCGAGCGGGGTCCTGGTGCAGAGCAGGGACCTGGGCAACAGCAACGTTGCTGCTCCTCCACAGTCTCTGTGTGTTGTTACACAAAACTGCAGACCCTGAACTGTGCAGGAAACACGCAAGCCCAAAGTACCCTGTGACCTGCAGAGCAGAGGCTACGCCTGAGGGTATCTAGGTGGGATGCGCCCAGATCAGATGATCCACCCAGATAGGCTGCTGCAGGGTGATAAAGACCCACATCTATTGGGCCCCCAGTGCATTCCAGGCCTCTCCTGGTAGTGACAACAGATGGCCCCAAGTAGAGGAATAAGGAGAAGCCGAGGGGGCAGATCAACCCAGAGCCAAAAGGGAGGTAAGAAGAGCTTTAATCAGTGCATACAATAAATGGGAAGGCCCAAGAAACCTGGTAGGTGCTACACTGCACAGGACCAGAGCAGGCAGGGGCGGCAGGCAGGGTGGAGAAGCGCTCAGGAGCCATAGGAGCCACAGGGGCCAGACAGCCGCTGGCGCGTGCTATGTGCACAACTAGCTGTCGTGGCTGGCCTCGGGTAAGTGACCCAAACGCAGGCTTTCCCACCCCAAGGGATCATCTGGAGAATAACAACTGGATGGCACAGAGATCATGGGCTGCCATTTGATTAAAATGAATTATTGAGGATTTAAAATTAGAGCCACCCACCAAACAACTGACCTCCAAACACTTTTCCTTCTTTGCCTGGTGAAGCAGGCTAGTCATCCCAGGAAGCAGGATTGGAAAGATGTAGGTTTCCAAATATTTTCTGGGGGAACCTAGAGTGAACAACAACAAAATTTCCACTGTAAATCCCAAACTGCCCACACCCACCTGGGAGAAATTTTTAGACTATAAAAAGGTACTGTCCATCACTAACACACCCTTCAGTGTGACATTTACTCCAGACCATAGAATCTGATTGCATTACTAGAGAAACTTAAAATGTCCCTGTGAGCCTCCGTAGTCTGCCAAGGATGTAGGGGGTCCCACACCAGGGCAGGCCCCCAGCTTGTTATGGCTGCAGGCAGTAACACAGCCAGGAGCCCAGTGTGGCCAGAGGAACAGAGGGACATAAGCAAGAGGAGTGCATAGGAACTGTGGCCACAGGAGAACTGGGGGTGGGAGCAAACTGGAAAGGGCCCCAGGGCCACGGGAATGGAGGTGGTGGTCGGCACACAGTCGGCAGGGAGGCCTGAGGAGCAGCTGCAGTCTGCACTCAAGGAAGGCACCAGGACATTTTCTTCTACTTCTTGCATTTGTTTGCCCCTCTTTTTGTTCTTGGTAGGTAAGGTAGAATCGGAGTGTGGTTTATTATTATCTCTACTGCATTTTAACCTTAAAGTTAAATCAGCAGAAAGATGATACTATTTCCTCCTTTTTTTCTTTTTTTGTAAAGGAGATTGAATCCAGGAGCCCTTTACCACTGAGCTACATCCCCAGTCCTTTCATTTTTTTAATTTTCTTTTTTTGAGACAAGGTCTTGCTAAGTTGCTGGGGGCTTGCTAAGTCTGGCCTTCAACTTGTGATCCTCCAGCCTCCAGCCTCCTGAATTGTTAGGATTATAGGCGTGCACCACCTCACTCAGGGAGGATACTCCTCTTAAAAATAAGAATTAAAACAACAACAGTCTCTTTTTATGCAGTCTCCCTGAGGTCTAGGGACCACTCCGATCCCCACTCTATGGTTTTGTAATGTTCTAAACCCCAAACTATAAAAGAAGGAAACCCACTTCCTTACTCACATGTTTTTGGATCAACAGTTTCTGAGATCTTTAGAGGACAGGGTATATGTGAGACCCTGGTGAAAGGCGGGGGTGGGAAATAGTGCTCTATGTTGAAGCCGTGGGAAACCGTTTCCTCCAGGGGCGAAACCTGGGAAGGGAGGGGAGGGAAGTCAATGCATGTCAACAGTGGAAGCTGAATTTCCTTTCTTTTTTTTCAGTTGTTGATAGACCTTTATCTTATTTATTTATATGAGGCCCAGTGACTGCCTGCTCACCCTGAATAGTCTTCACGTGGACAACACTCCTCACAAGCATCTGGTCAGTTTTTCTATTCAAAGAAGAGACCCATCCAGAAAACAAACCTACATGTGCAGCAGAAGAACTACCACTGTGATGTTTAATTTCCCATGTCAACTGGACTGACCCAGCTGGTGGAGCATTATTTTTGGGCATGACTGTGAGGGTGTTTCTGGAGATCAGTGACGGAGTGGAGGACTGAGCGGGGAGGTAATCCCCAGTGTGGATGGTTAGGATCCAATTGGCTGGGGGCCTAGCTGGAAGAGAGAGGTGGAGGGAAGGTGAATTTTCTCTCAGCCAGGATGTCCTTTTCCTTGGATGTAGACAACTGGGACTTGCACCAGTGCCCGCCATGCCATTCTTAGGTCTTTGACCTTGGACTTGACCAAACCACACTGCTGATTTCTCTGGTTTTCCAACTTGCCTATGGCCTTTTCTCAGCCTCCATAATCATGTGTGAGTCAATTCCTCTAAAAAAGACCCTTACTCCATCTATCTATGTATCGTCTCCTATTGGTTGTCTGTCTGCCTATCTATTTATATTCTCTTATTGGTTGTGTCTCTCTGGAGAACCCTAAAATACCAGCAATACAGAAAAATCAACTCATTTATTTAAAGTGGTGATTTTAAATAAATATTCAAATATCTCTATACAGATCAAGAAAAGCAACAGGATAAAAGGCAAAAGGTTAAGATCTAAAAGAGCACAGTTGAACCTGGAATAGACAAATAATCCAGGAACAAGAGGTTATATGATGCAGAATCTGCAGAAACACTTGAGAAAGAATTGCATCCATAGAGCAAGAACATGATGCTATGAAAAAAGAACACTCACAAAATGTGATTTTTAGACACAAAAACTCTGTCAGAGGTGGCTATCATGGAAGCTATGAGTCTACAGACAGGTTTTGATTTCATCCCTGTGACCCTGCACAAGTCCCTTCGTCTCTGCAAATGTTTTTAAAATTTTCAAATTCATTGTGCATATTTAATTCCAAGGTTTTGTCTCTAAGGGCCTCCCTCCTGGCTCCCTATCCTTGCCCTCTCGTGTACTCTGCATCTGCCCTACCCTGGAATGCAGAGGAACTTGTCCCCAGCACAGACAGGCTGTTGGATCCACGGTGAAGGCCCATCTCCTCCAGGATCTCATCTGAGCCCCACAGATACTCTGTTAGTTGAGGATTATCTGTCCCATTTAATCAGTGCAGAAGCAAAGTCTGAAAGAGGTTATGTGATGCTTGGGTCACACCATTAGTAACAAAACTAGGACTGGCCTCAAGTTTCCGATTCTAGCTTCAGTCCACCGTCTCCTTCTCACCTCCTAACTCATGACACCGTCGGACCTTCCCCAGCCCTCAGTACTAGTCTCACTTAAGAGCCTTCTATTTAGCCTGAGGCCTGGGTCATACTCACAGTAATTTCAGGCTCTTGTTTGACTTCATATCCTTTTGGAAAGGGAGGCAGCTCAGCTTGGTACTCTAAAGGGAAGGGGAAAAAAATTCCTCAAATGCCATGCTTCATTGCAGTTTGTGATATCATTTCCTTTTCTCTGAATGAAATATTCTTAAATTTTATTTCAGTTGGTGGTTTACAGAAATAAAAACCAACTGGCCATTGCAAGGGAATATTTAGTGTGGATAAACCAACTTATTTAAAATGGACGGTTGACCTCTCACATGAAAGCCAAAGCTTTATGTAAGAGTCTGAGACTCTTTGCCTGAGAATACTAGTTCAGATTTTGCTCAAACATTAGGAGGAACAGAGGAAGGAAGAGACTGGGGAGGAGGGTAAGGGAAGATGCCAATAGCACACATGGAATACAGTAATGCAAAGAACATTCCACCCAAGTCGTACAGGGCAGCAGTAACTACTGCTGAGAGAGGGACAGAAAATGCTCATGGGCTAACCTAACCCTAACCCTAAAGAAAAGTTGAGTAAAACATTTCTGGGAAGGTTCATATTTTAAAGACGACTTTGCCAGTGATGACAAAAGATGTTTCTGGCCAAGATGGTACTGAAGGAATGCAGCTCCGTTGTGCCTATGTTTTGCTCCTTACCTCGTTACTCACAGGTACTAGAACATGTCTCACTTTTGAAAAAGACACTATTTTAAATATCAGGCTGGGGACACGTACATCCGACTACAGATTACAAGCAATTTGATTCTCAATATCAGCTATCACTGTGCAACTAATTACAATAGTCTCCCTTCACGAGAGCTTGGATCTACAATGTCTCCCACAGGCCCAGATTGCTCTATTGGTAGGTGACAGGCTCTTTAAGAGATGGCACCTAGGGGCTGGGGATGTGGTTCAAGCGGTAGCGCGCTCGCCTGGCATACGTGAGGCCCGGGTTCGATCCTCAGCACCACATACAAAGATGTTGTGTCTGCCAAAAACTAAAAAATAAATATTAAAAACTCTCTCTCTTAAAAAAAAAAAGAGAGAGAGAGAGAGAGATGGCACCTAGTGGGAAGTTTCCAGATCACTGGGGTCAAGTCCTGGAGAGTGGGGTCCTGGCCCCTTCCTTTTCCTCTTCAAGCCACCAAGTGGGTGGCTTTGCTCTGCCAGTCTTGTGCTGCCTGCTACAGGCCCAATCACTGAAACCTCCAAAACTGTGAGCCAAAATGAACCCTTTCTAGGTTGTCTCAGGTATTTGTTATGGTGACAGGAAGTTCATATACTCCCTGTGCCCACAGAGTATGTTCCAAGATGTTCCTAAGATGCCCCAAATTGCATCTTAGGAACATCTTGGAACATGCAGGTAGTATTAAATACCACACCCAGCTAAATTTAGGAATTTAAAGCAACACAAATTATCTGAGTCAAAAGTCCAGGGAAAAGGGCCGGATGAGGTGGCGCATGCCTGCAATCCCAGCGGCTTGGGAGGCTGAGGCAGGAGGATTGCAAGTTCAAAGCCAGCCTTAGCCAAAGCAAGGCGCTAAGCAACTCAGTGAGACTCTTGTTTCTAGATAAAATACAAAATAGGGCTGGGGATGTGGCTCAGTGGTCGAGTGCCTCCAAGTTCAATCCCTGGTACTAAAAAAAAAAAAAAAAAAAATCCAGGAAGAGAGACCTCTCTCATGCTGGAATCAAGGCATCAATCACAGCTCTGACTTAGTATCTGAGAGTTGGGGTCCTTTTCCAAGCTCACTCGCTGTTCATTTTCTTGTGGTTGAAGGGCTGGAGGCCCTGTTGTCTCCTTGGTTGTCAGCTAAGAACTGCTCAGCTCCTAGAGCCTGCCCTCAGGTGCTTGCCTCGGGCAGTGTACAGTAGGGCTGTTGGTACTTCAGTGCCAGCAGGAGTCTCTTCTACTTGATCTGACTTCAAGGGCTCACCTGATTAGGCCACGCCCACCATCATGTAAAGCGGATGATTAAGGACTTTAAATACATCTAAAGCATCTTTTCACAACAACACCGGTGTTTGGCTTAATATCTGAAAGATGTGCTCTAGGAGTTAGGATCTTGGGGGCCATGTTAGTATTTTGCCTACTGTATCAGCCACGGCTCTATCACTTTTTCCCCCCTGCTTGGACAAGCATGTAAATTCACCTTTATTGAGGGCTACAGCCAAGTCGGGATGACACATGGCATTTTGTCAGAAAAGAGTGGTTGAGAGGTGACACCAGCGAGCCATTGAAATGATTATGTTAAGCTGTGTATTCAATTGTATATATGACCTTTACTGTCCGGCAATAGGGTGGCTCTTGCTGCCTCGGGTGCCCGCTACTTTGGAGTTCCTGTTGAGTTCTCTTGGGGTTCCGAGAGAGTGGGTACAAGCCGACCCCGGTGGAGGGAAGAGTGTTCCCGGGAGCGTGTGTAGTGTGCTGGTGGAGTTCAGGAATAAAGACTTGCTGTTTGAACCTACAAGTGCTTCATGGCGGCTCAGTTATTTGTGCCCAGCCAGACTGCGGCAACCCTTCTTCCCCCATCGCCCCACCCTGAGAATCACTGAGATAAAGGGAAAACTATTTAGGTTTAAAATGTATACATTTATGCCACTGTTTTAATACAACACCAGTACATAATCGTTGAAAGAAAATTTCACATAACACAGAAATATTTACTTTTTAGTCAGTCACATCTAATCCTGTCCCTGAGTACTTAGGCTTGGCATACAGCCAACCGAATCTTTCCAATGTATTACTAATATAAGGTACACAAATATGTTTGCTTTAAACCTCCCAGACTAGGTCAAACTGCTAAAGTACGGAACCTCATAACTCTTGTCCACATTTTTCTTTATCAGTTTTTCCCCTTATTTGAATTTTATAAAAAATTTATGCTGTCCTTTTTAACAGACTGTAGATTTGGCAAGGGAAGTACCTGGGCTTGTGTTATTATATCCCCAAATTATTCTTGCTGAATAAACAAATAATGATGAATAAATAAACCAAACAGTACATCGAATTTTTTTTTTTGATACCAGGGATTGAAGCCAGGAGTGCTTAACCACTGAACTACATCCCCAGCCCTTTTTATATTTTGTTACTTAGGGCCTCAGCCCTGCAAGCTGCTGGGATCACAGGTGTGCACCACCATGCCCCGCTGCAGCAAGTTCTTTTGATTCATCCATTAATCCCTACCTACTGCCTGCCACATGCCAGGAACCCTTCTAGGTGTTGAATATTGGGTCCTTCAATGCTGCCACAATTCTATTGTGCCACACTTATTACAATGTTGCAATGAGCATCTTTACCACTGATCTCAATGAAATCATTTTTGTGGGATTAACTCAGTTGTGAAATTGTTGTCAAAGGGAAAAAAATTGGAGCAATTTGCCAAACTTTCCTACAAAAAGTTTATAATAATAGTGAGACTGCCTATTTCTCCAAATATAATCAATCGTACACATTTGAAAAAAATATTTTTATTTGCATTTCATTGTTATTTGCCATTTTTATTTTTCCAATAAAAATCTGTTAAAATTTGATGAAAAAAACACAAAACTTCACACGACCATAGAAGAGATACAGTTGAAATAATTATTTAAAAGTATAGGAAAACATATTAGCCTCAGGAAAACCCAATATGTATGTTACTTTAAGCCTTGGGAATGTTTACAAGAATCTGAAATATTTGAGAAATCATTGGTTTCACCTTGAGATTTCAACTTGATACACAGGTGATCAAAGACTTGTGTTGTTACATTGAAAGGCCTAAGCAAAGGGTTTGTAAAGAGCATTGAACTATTTAAAACAATTTGATTGATCATAGAGAACACCTTCTGGGGAGAAATGAGGGAGAAGATTGTCTGCTCTGGGTTGGTAAGAGGGTGGAAATTGAAGTGGTGTGAATAAGAGAGCTGTGTTCTTTCTAGACTGGTTGCTGCTAAAGAGGATATGGGGTCAAGGTTGGGGTTTTTCCTGAGATGAACCAGAGGGTGTTTGGAGGCAAAAGCAAGTAGCGAATTGTAGGAGCAGGATCCTGGAATAGCAAAGCCCAGTTGGTGGGCTGGGCTGAGTGGGGAACAGCAGGGTGTAAGGATGCAAGCGTGTGTGTGTGTGTGTGTGTGTGTGTGTGTGTGTGTGTGTGTGTGTGTG